TAGTGGGAAAATCTGAATTCAGTAAATATTAGTCGAGAATAGAAAAAATTTATGAACCGCCGGGATAAGGAATGAGGAGTTTGTGTAATAAAAACTACAAAAATACTGTAAATTTTCTAATTATTTACAAATCATGTCATCATATAATATTATTTACATGTAGGTAGAATTATTCTTGTATATCAAATATGTGTTTATATAAATTCATTACAATATTTTGTGACTTTTTTTGAAACTGTAAAAATAATTTTTACAGCGTACCACTTTGAAAATTTTCCCGAAAAATCATCAACAACATCCATATAAATGAAATAGAGACATGAGCTTCAACAAATTGTACAAACAACATATTACAAATAGTATAAATTACATATTTTACAAGGTGTTAGTATTTATCTAAATATTTATGAGTCATTAGGTAAGATTTCATTAAAAATAAACAAATCTATTAAATTACGAAGGTTGCGTCTATAATTTTCGACTGTAAAAAAATATAATCAAAATTATTAACTATTTTACTTTGTTCTGTTGATACCTAATTACGAGCCTAATTAACAGTATTTCTATTTAAATGGATACGTTCAAGCCAGTAGATACATAATAGGTATGCAATAGCAATACTAATTCGCTCAATCCTAATTTCCTTTCGTTTCAAGAGACAGCTTTCGCATTATTATTATAATTATTTTATATTTATCAACTATATTTAAGATGAGTTGAGACTGGAAAATTTGTTTTAATGCTGCATATACCAATTGTATATATTGACTTGAGCTTGTGTGTAGATATGAAACAGTTCTGTTCTGGTCAGCTGCAATTCTCTTATTTTTATCACTGCGAGAGTCAGATCCATTAATTTAATATTTATTAATTTTTCATTACAACTTTTAGATTTCGTAAGTACTGTTCATCGACTAGAAGTGTGAGTTGTAGTTTAAATCTTAAAAATTAGACACAACCTTTTTGTTAACAAAATATCGGACATCGAGACGTTTTTAGAGTGATAGTAGAGAGTTTCCTTAAAGATCCATTACCAATTTGTTTTAAACAAAAATGTGTGTAGGTAATATGTAGGTATGTAGACTTCTCTCGCTTGTCACTTAGAGGTAAAGAGAGGGTAGGTACATATTAAACGACTTCGACAAATTCGCAGCCATACAGTGAGCATCATAAGTCTTACCCCCCCTAACTAACTCGTTACTGGAGTCTTGTTAGGAAAATCGCCGAGACAGGTCGATTTTTGATTTCTACAATGTACATTTTTGTATGATTAGTTTACCCTTAATTTCATCCCTTACTGGAGGGGAGCAACCCTTTCGAAAAATTTAAATGGCATGGGGTGGCGAGTGATAGCTCATTTGAAAGAGGGTTTTATTCTCTATTCAACCATGCAAAAAATTTTGAAACGTGTTTCATTACGTGTTGATTTATTAATGTTTAAAAATAACAAATCCTCACAAAATAGGAAAGCAACTAAACTAACAGTGACCTTCTAATGGCAAAAAGTCTTACTTCACGTCTGAACCAAAACCGAAATCATGCAGGGCCGAATTTTAATTCTAAGGATGAGTGCGCTACGTTAATTTCCGTTATTCTGAAACATCAATTAGTCGAGAATTAATGAAGCAAATTTCAAAAAATTTTACATGTTTGAATAGATAATAAAACCCTCTTTCAAATGAGCTATCACTCACCACCCCATGCCATTTATATTTTTCGAAAGGGTTGCTCCCCTCCAGTAAGGGATGAAATTAAGGGTAAACTATTCATACAAAAATGTACATTGTAGAAATCAAAAATCGACTTGTCTCAGCGATTTTCCTAACAAGGCTCCAGTAACGAGTTATATAGGGATTTATGGTGCTCACCGTATAATATATTATGTGTATTGCAATGGTACCTTTCAAGTAACGAGCCAAGTCTACATAGCTATTAGGTAAATACAAACTCCAAAAATTTTTAATTACGTATCTATTGAATTTTTAGAAAAAAAGTGGGTGCTTCGCCTAAAAATAGAAATTAACTTAATAAATTTGAAAATATAATTTACAAGGTATCTAAATAAGAAAATATGAAACGCTCAGAATATAAAAAAATGTATAATTTGTTTAGAATTAACCTTAACAGCCAAATATCAAAATAAAACCACCTCGGAATACCTATTAAAAAATCCTTAGGTGGCTAAGTGAAATTAGTTTTAACAGATATAGGTAGGTAGGTAGGTAGGTAGGTAGGTGCGTATGTGTGTATGTTTAAGCAAAATATTACAATTAACCTGGATATGGCTCATGGCTCATTTATACATTGCTTCAAAAGAAATACAAAATTACAGGTTTTAGGCGACGCATATACTTTTTTAATAAAACAGTTATGAAAAAGTTTTTTCATATTTTGTAAAGTTTTGAGTTTCACTATATTTAACAGATAATCTAAATTGGAAGAAAAACTGTTACAAATAGGTAGGTAATATGGTTCGTCTTTCATATTGGTATCTATTATTAATTTTAAGGAAGAAAGTTATTCTTCATAAAAAGTTCTGCATGGTCACAATTCTACAAAGCAAAATTAAAATAAAAATTTTTCATTAGTACCTAGGTATACGAGGTTTTTTAAAAAATATTTTTGATAATGTCGAAAATTATTATAAAGAAAAGTTGATTAGAATTGAAAACTATGTTATAAATAAGCAAATAACATCCATTTATGCTGGATAAAAAAATTTCATTAGTTTTTGTTTTTTTATCTGAAACAACCTTGAAAATTTTTGAAATAACATTTATAGTCTAATGAGAGACTGTATCAATATGCATCCTAGATTAAATATAGATGTGTAGGGATAAATTTTCAAAGCTGCTGTAGAGAAAAAGGTGTAAACATAATCATTAATTATTATATTTCATGGTAGTAGTTGTTTCAGTGTAGTTTCAATTCTAATCAAATTTTGTTTCTAATAATTTTCGATGTTTCAAAAATACTTTACTGGTACGCAACATTAATATTTCGTATACGACTGAAAAACTTTGATACTTGATAATTGATGTTAGACCAATGTGACCTTTTTAAAAGGAATAACTTTTTTCCGTAAAATTAATAATAAAAAAGTTTTGCTTATGCTGCGAACTTAAGTATATTACAAGAAGTAGGGAAAGAATAAAGTATGATCAATAATAATAATTATTGAACAAGGGATTTAACAGATTGGAGTTTGAAATTTAAAAGACAGGAACACAAATTAAAATCAAATGGTAAAAACTAGTAAAGAAAATCATCGAAAGCCTGTAGAATAATCGATTACATTTTTATACAGGGTGGTCCTTAAGTAATTGTACACAGGAGCACAGCAGATTTTTGACTTTAAAATAAATTATGATTTGAGCCATTTGCCTCAATAAAATATTGATAATAAGACAGATCCAGGTTTTTAAAGGTGAAATTACTGATATGTAGGCAACCAATATTACTACTTGTATTGTTAGTTGCATATGATTAACTTTATTCTTTTATTGATAAATAGAAAATCGTATTAATTTATTCTCAACGACTTATTGTAGTGTATTTATATTGTTTATTAAAGCTATTTAAATTTCAAGAAAGTGGGTTATTTTATTGTGTATTGTGTTTTAATTATTTTGTGCTGATTTAGAATGGAAAATAATGACCAAACAACATTACTGTGTTGTAAGTTTAATCAAATTCTAACCTGCCCATCTTTAATATAAACTTTCAATAATATAATGTATGTTATTGATTTTAAAACAAAAAAAGATTTATTTTTATGTGTTTACTTTTCGCATCTGGCGGCATAATGCATTTTTTCCAAACCAGTTACATAAAACGGCATGTCGTAACGTGTCACATACAATATTTTTTTCTACTTTTGATTATAATTTGACTAAAATTGTGTTTTGGTTAAACATCACTTACATTTAGGCAACCAATATTACTTTCTTGTATTGTTAGTTGCATATGCATTATTTTGTTGACAATTGGAACATCATTATTAATTATTTATTCTCGGCCAGTTGCAGTATGTTTATTGTTTATTAAAGCTATAAAAATGTGGGTTATTTTGTAGTGTATTAGGTTTTAATTATTTTGTTTTGATTTGGACTGGAAAATAAGGACCAAAACAACATTATTACTGGGTTGTAAGTTTAACAAAATTCTATCTTTGTAAGTCAACCTGCCTTTCTTTGATATAAACTTTCAATATTAATGAATAGTATTGATTTTATTTGTTTTCTTTTCGCAACTGGTGACAAAGAATTTTTCGAAACCATTTTCATAATGTTCAACATTATGCAATTGGTTGCGCAAAGTAGATCAATTTGACACTTGCTGCGATTACAAAAAATGTTACTTTATATGTCAAAATTAGAAAAAATATGTATACCATCGCATTGCCGTAAAAAAACATTACCAAAGACGCCTACTACGTTAATATTTCAAGAAATGAATTAAATAAGAATCATGGAGCTAAATTCTAAAATGCGATTATATCGAAAAACTGTTAATAACAATTTTTGTTAAATTGACGTGCCTTTAATATTTTTTGCTAAAAATGGCCCTAACTTAAATAAAAAATTTTAACCTATATGTATGCCAAAAAAGTGACTAATGTGGCGCCTCCTATAAAATAGATCGAGGTAAATACGAAATTACAATTTTTCATACCCAAAAACAATAAATATAAAAATATTTAATATAAATATCCAAAATCATCAATATGTTATTAAGGCAAATTGGCTAAGTCGTAATTTGTTTTGGAGTCAAAAATCTACTATACGTAATTTTATATAAGGGGACCACCCTGTATATTTAAGATTCCGATATCATTGTTTAATGTTTATCTTAAATTTATTAGTTTTTAATAGTTTAATTACCTAATGACAAAGTCAATGATTTTTTTTTATAAATATTATATAATTGAATTTTATGATAAAAAATATAAAAAAAAACTGATAGCTTTTATTATGGATCTCTGCGGAAACCACTCGTTTTTCCGAACCCCTATGAAGAAGGCATGTAGGCGGCCAAGTGACTGACGAGTAAGGCCCCCCAACAGGCGGCCAAATGGGGGGCAAAACGCTAGTTGCTCATGGGGGCCCCCGAGTGTTAGGGGCTGGCCGGTAAGGATTCGTCGCTGTCTAGATACGTTACATAACTGTCGGTACTGTCAGGATGGGTCATGGCGTCAGATGAAGGCGCTCCGGGCCCCCCGCCCCCTGGACCCATCAGGCCAGGATGCGGGGGACCCCCGCCCGGCGAGGGGCCTAACGAAGGTGGAGGAAGGTCGTAGCCGTGCATCTGAAATAAAAGATATATTTAATAAAACAAAAAATTAGGGAAATTATTATTTTTGAGCGATAGGATTGCAGTTCTCAGAAAGTCTAGATACCGCTGTGGTGTGGGTATGCTGTTAATACAATAAAATTACCCCCTGACCACGTTGAATGATATTTTAAGGGTATTTCAACTCCCTTTAAAACATGTCACCAAAATAGTGCACAGGTCGTTAAAAATGCGGTACTGTAAATGAAAACTAATAATACGGCGAATTGTTAGAAAAAATTTTAGCTTCATCAAGTGAAAAATACGTCTGTATCTATTTTTTTTTAAATAATGATAATTTATTAATGTCTATACTAATCATACTCTATGTATCAAACGAAATATAAAAATTAAAAACAATGAGAAGAAAAATAATAACCCATATTTTATCAAAACAAAGTGAAGACTATTTTTCATTATTTTTATAGTGTTACGAGACAATAATAATTAAATAAGAAAAATAGTGTGTATTCTTTCCTACAAAATTGTAAATATTGTTCAAATGGATTAAAAAATTTGACATTTTGATGTTAAGTTTACAGAAAAGTAGGTATTAAATTTAAACTGCGACATTTATGATAATTAATAAATACATTCCAAAGATAAATGCTTATTTTGTTACCAATATGACATGGATGGATCTCCTAATTGCAATAAAATGTTGTTCTTATGAAAATGGTAGGTCTGTACAAAAATAATAATCTGTAAACCTTAAGTACCTATATGCGTGCTGTATTGAACTTTTTATTACATACACGCAGAAGATTGTTTTCAATATGTAATAGGTTCATTAACTTTTACTACTTTACTTTAATCATTTTCAAAATAAATCAAAGGTAGGTATTTAAGGGTGGAAATTTTATTAGTATCCGCCAAGAGCTTGCGGCTGTTAAAATAACATCGGGACATTATATATGTAAAAAATAACAAATTATTATCAATCATTCTATTGTTCTTGTTTACATTTATAATATTCCGAAGTTTTAACAGCCGAACCAAAAGCGCTAATACTAATACAATTTACAAATATGCACACAAATAATTGAAAGCACCTTCATTCGTTTCTTTCCTTTATTTACAAAATATTATAAAGCCTATAACAGAGCAATAATAGCGTTTTTATTATTTCTACATTTACACTTGATTTAGAATAGATCAGAGGTTCCCAACATTATTTTAAGAAATAGATATAAAAAATGAAAATGTGTCATAAGTAGTGTATATAATGTGTTGCCTATATCTACGTTATTCATGATAAAAGAAGTTGCTATTCAAAGTCAATGTTAACTTGGATAATAAAAGAAAAAACATTAAACTAGATACAAATAACTTTATTTATTAAAAAGAAATATTATTAGCGACAAGTTGTCAAGTTTTCCGCTCGGCGATCGACAAAGCTGTTACTTAATGTCAGTTTGCGGAAATAGTGAACTTTGTGGTTAAATTTCGAAACGCAAAAGCCTACTTTGGATAGTGATCGTAGAAAGAAAAAATTAATTTTTTGACAGAAATCTAAATAAAAATTATGAACTATTCAAATACTGTTGCATTTTATCAGTACCTTATTTATCTGCTTCTATATCTATTAAAAATTATAAAGTAGAAATTAATAAAATGACAACCAAATGTACAAAATTGTTTATTAAAGTTTTAAAAACAAACACAAAATCAATAAGAAATACTTATAAAAAATGAGATATAAACACAAAATTAATAGTAAATAAAAAAAATTAATGAGATGGTTGAGGCTGGTGAAGTTTTAACAAATTGTTAATGTCGGATTCCAATTTCGTTAAGTACCTACTCTTGTTCCTCTTTTTTGACAGTAAATTAGCTACTGTACTGAATCCAGGCGTTGCCAGATAAGACGAAGGAAACGCGATTAAAAACTTCTGTATTACTGCCCACAATCCAGGGTAGAGTACTGGTATTGATTTTTGGAGCTAACATTCTTGGTATCCATGTTTAAATTTTACTTTGAGTTCTACGATAGTTGCGAGTTCTACGAGTTCCTCTTCCAAATTAGATAAATCTATAGTATCTGCATTTAATGTTTAAAATATTTTAGAAACGCTTCGTAAAATCAACATAAAGAACATCTTCAAGTGTTTGAAGTAAGTAAGTAAATCTTCCTGTTTCGCAGAGATTATTGATAGTCTGGGAAAGTGCTTGTATCCATCTCTATCTAGATTTCGTTTGAATAAAAGATTTCCCGCAAAAGCAGCTATGACGCTATTTGATTTAATTAAGTTCAACCTTGCGATTGTAAATTAACTTTATTAAATATTTTAAACAGGTCTGACAAATATGCGATATCATTTTTTGATAGAATCAGGTTTTCTAGCAATTTTTCATCTCTGTCCTCAAGAAAGTCGTGAACTGAGTCAAATATATTCAGACAAACACCTTTAAAGAGCCAACGTACTTTCTGTGTGCAGCAGTAAGCGATTGTAATCTTCATCATTTTCACTACAAAGCTAACTAAATAATGGGCCATTCAATGAATTGCTTCTAATCTTATTAATAATACTCGCCCTAATTCACCCCCTTACGAATGCATTTTAACCTGAAAAGCTGAGCTTGTCCGGAGAAAGTGACGGCTATTATTATTTGCCGTGGCGCTCCGGGTCGACTTAAAGATAATTGATGGCGCCATTTCACTTACAAGTGAGGAAAACTCGGAAAACCCCACCCACCATCATAGAAAATGGCGGTTTTTATAGGTAATTTGATGTTTTATCAACAGAAATTAAACTTCTGCTTATACGGCATCCATCAAATTATCAAATCCTATAGAGAAATAAATTCACCTTGTTTTTGTAGGATTCGAAACCGGTGTCTGTTTTACCACAAAATTGGCTCACAAATGAATGCGGCGTCGTAGACACCTACGCTACCGTAGTCGTTAATTGCTCTAATAACGTAATTGAGCAACGCGTGCAGACGTTCATTCAAATTTTTTGCAACTAAATGCTGACGATGAATAATACAATGTAGAGCGAGTACATTTGGTACTACTTGTTTTAAATGTGATATAAAACCCTTATGACTTCCTGTCATTTCTGGAGCACCATCAGTAGCTGTTGACAAAATATTGCAAATAGGTTTCTTTCTCTTGAAAAAACTTTTGTATGATATTAAATATAAATTCTCCCTTTGTATCAATTTCCAAATTATTAACAAATAATAACTCTTGATTAATTTTTTCTTCTTTTATAAATCGAATGTGATTTGGTAGATAGAGTTAATTCATCGAGTTGAATGGAAAATTTGCAAGTCTTAAGTAATGATATTTCAACATCTTTTGCCATTTTATATATTCTTCTTTGCGGTGTTTTATGATGAAGAACAGTTTGACTTCTCTGACTTCCGGCAAAATTAATTCAGGTCTGTGAACTTGGCACCACAACATTGCAAAAAAGATTTAAAAATGTGTGAGAGGTTTGCCCATCATTTGCCCATTATTGCCCATGAAATAACTTTTTTGCCAACCCTCTGTTTTCACAATATATCGAAAATAATTTTCGCGGGCCAACTTCCAGACAAAAGTTAATATTTTCATAATTTAATTTTACGGCATTATAGCATTTCGTTTGCCCACGTTTGCCCACGTTTGCCCATAAATTAGTTTTTCAAAAAAAAAAAAAAAATAGAGGAAATAAAAAAAAAACAAAAAAAAATATCCCTTTTTTAATTACATTTTTTTTGAAGATCGTTATAAAAATTTGTGAAACAACAAAAAGGGCAAACATGAGCTAACGAATGATTATCTAATGCAGTTATCATATTGCACTTTTGTGAATATTTTTTTTATCTCTATTTTTTTTTCTGAAAAAACTAATTTATGGGCAAACGTGGGCGCTATTATGTCGTGAAATTAAATTATAAAAATTTTAACTTTTGTCTGGAAGTTGGCCCGCGAAAATTATTTTCGATATAGTGTGACAACAGAGGGTGGGCAAAAAAGTTATTTCATGGGCAATAATGGGCAAATGATGGGCAAACATGTCACATATTTTTGACGTTTTTTTTAAATGTTGTGGTGCCAAGTTCACAGACCTAATTAATTCTTCGCCAATTGTTTGAGGTTTTCCAGCTTTTGCGATAACAATGAAAAGAATAAAATGTTATATGAGGCGAAACACATTAAAATAATAAAACATTCCTAGAGTTAACCCTTTTATAGATTTGACTTTATGCACGTATTAACTTGTATATTTGCGATGCCGGCGCACTTGCTCTATAAACAAGTCATTTCAAGTTTCCACGTTCTTGCTCTTGTTGGATTGCGTGAATGTTATAACAATAAAAAAATTTACTTAGCTAGATAAAATATTAATTCATGAAAACAGGTATTGTATTTTATACATTAATTTCCTAAATAGATACTCTATGGCAGGGATGCACGGACAGATTTCTAGTCTCGTAACAATATGCTTGGGCGAGTAGAATAACTCTGTCCTACGTAGTACTTTTGTAGTTTTTCGAACAATTTTAAAAATTCGTTGGGGGGCCGCATAAATATCGATAGTGGGCCGCATGCGGTATATGCAACGCTGCACTATAGGCACACAATATTTCAAAATATTTTAAAAATTATAATTTTTTTAATATTTCTAAAAGATTTATCTAAAATATTTATTAACTAAGTATATTTTATAAACTTTTTTTAATTAAAAAATATTTATTTTTATATTTTGGTGGTGATAAGTTAGGCATATCCCCTCTTGATTGCCTTAACGCCCCCCATTTGCCGCTGGATTCACTACCGCCCCCATAGAAAGTTCCAGCTGCCATTGGGGGCAGTAGATATCGTCCCCGTTGAGAACCTATGCATTCTTTAAATTATGTCTCTAGAGACCTCACGGCAAATTATGGTTCCATCTTTCGAAATGCTTACACGCACATGCTCAGATTAATAGATTGAAACAACGATAGTCTTCGTCTATAAGAACTTTGGCGGATTTTTTAGAACTGTGCTTATATTAGATACATCAAATCAAATATATTACGTACCAGATTACAAGTTTTTTTTTTATCCATGGAGGGGATCGTACCTAGGCATATATGCCTGTCTTGTGTGATCCCTTCCATAAAAAAAATACAATAATAAATTGTTTTAAAAGTACAAAAAAAAATTAAAAAGAAAAACGACTCAGTAATAGGAGTAATAGGAAACTAAAGCAAGACATACTCTTTGTTTTTATATACACTTATAATCTGTAACAACTGTCATGCTCCGTGAACATTAATAACCTGTCAAATGATTGACTAATCATCTAATGGCCAGATCTTGAAGTTGGATACATGTTGATGTTAAAACACGAACCATTAATGCTTTATCTAGCTCTTATAATGGTCAAAGGGTACCTCACTTTTTAACGATCTCTGGCGATAGTTTTTGGAACTACGTACCTACTGTTTGTTTGAGGGAAGTTGAAACACCTAAAATAATATCATTCATCGTGCATTGGACTAACAACATCGGCCGTGACAAGTCAGTGGAGAAACCGAATAGATAGAATATGCGCTTGATCTGACTGGTCATTGCTAGGAAGCACAGCGTTGGGCTGTCAAGTTCCGCATTTTGCAGATGGAGTGAATAAGAAGATAACTATCAAGCATATACTCTATAATTGCCCGATGCTCTCATCTATTAGGACATAGACCCATAGACCTCTGCAGGGTTCAAAGCAAGGTCATCAAGGTCAATTGATTTTTATGCCATACCTTCTAAGAAGGCATGAAGGATGATATACTATCGCTATTTAGGGCGTTGCTGAAAGCTTTCCCCTGTTACGTCGTGTGTTTGTGTATTCTGTTGTGTTTACGGTCCTGTGAACGTTATCCTAGTTTCTTTTTGGCGACAAAGAAGACCTTCTCCAACCAATTATAATAAGTAATTATCGACAATTTTGCTGAAGACCCAATTCTTTGTTATCTGTTATTTCCAAGAATGGAGTCATTCACAAAAAAATTTTTTGAAGTAGGCGATGAAAAAATCACGTAGGTATATGGTATTTCATCTTCTTTATTAAATGACAGTTTGAATGTAATCCAGAGTCGTTATCAGGGACGTGAATCAACTCTGTTTCTGTTAGTCATGGTCTACTTTACGAACATTTTTTTTTGAATCAGTCGTTATTTTTTTGGAGATTAACAGCCGGGAGATTTCTTGATTATCATTAGTAATCTAATAAGTTCTTTTTATAACTCACCTGGTTTACCAGCTGCTGGAAGGCAGGTTGATGAGGTTGCTCTAGGTCAGCGTGGAGGGCGAAATCGGATAGCGCTTTCCATGGAGGTTGGTACGCTTGGACTTCTAAGGGATGGACGCCTATTGGTGAATCGTGTCGGACCGGTGACGATGCCACCATCGGGATGCCTTGCATCGCACCGTAACCCATCTTACGGCCATCCTGTGAATAATACTAGGTTAGGTTAGGTGTATGCTAGTCAAATAAAAACACTTAAAATTATAAGAAATCAAATATAATTAAAACGTGATTTTCTAGGTTTTCTGATATAGGCACGGTTACGTCCTGTCAAAGGAAACAAAACTCAAAGTAATTTTCCACATTATTTTATTATTTTATATACCTAACAATGTGAATGGGTTACTAGTTTCGGCCTCTATGGGCCATCATCAGATCAAAAACCCTTCTTTAACGTAGGTTAATAATTCAATAACATAAATTTAAAAAAGTTAAAATTCTTTTCATCCAGAATTTGTCAAAAACAATGAGTACATTCAACGATGAAGGGGTGTAGGGAAGTAGAGAGAGGAAAGTTGTGAAGAAGGATGGAGTATAGAAACATAGGTAACTCTAATTAGATGAATATAAGAGGTAGGTGGAATACATGTTAGTATATGATTAGCTAAGACAGATTCTGGAATAGTAATTTTTTACGACCGACCCTTAAGTATGTATTCACTTTCCGAATAATTTTTCGTCCAGAAAATAACGTTTTGCCGATCAAGACCAGAAAGTAGGGACCGGTAAAGCTTTTACGGTCCGTGTTTTTCATTTTTCGATCGTTGTTTGATAATACAGTCTGCTTGATTTCGTTACTATGGTAACAACGTTCCGATTTATTGCCAAGTGACAGTTCGTTGATTTTTAATTTGTTGTTTATGTCAAACTTGTTTTCGCAAATTTAAAAATATGGATTCATATTTTGAATTTTCTGACATAGAAATGAAAGTTCAGAAGAAATTTTGGGAGCAGCAAAAATGTACATTTACCATAATTATTCAAACATAATGTATTTGGTTAGATCATGCAGTTGTATCCATTATCTAGTTTTAGTATTTGTTAATCACTTTATTAAATAAAATAAGTAATTGAGTTTACATCGAAGTGTCGGTCTGAAAAAAATATTGTACGTCATGCGACGGAAAATTAGTGTTAAGCAGGTCTCTCCAAGCTTCCAGGGTAGCTATTCTTGAATTCGAGGGAATAGAAAACCGGTTTTTCCTCTTTATCTCTAACACAAAAAATTTGTATTTTTGTCTCATTCTTCCCTCAAAATGTCTACTCCCTGAGATTCAAGAATAGATACCCAGGTCTCGCCTATGGCTCGCCCTGAAATCTGCTTGTCTCGATCTGCAAAACACTACTTTCCGGCCTTGAAACGTAAATTACTATTTTTGAATTATTTTGCACGAAAAAGGCACAATAAACATAATTGGAGTATGTAATGATTTAAAACTTTCTACAAGTGTTTATATGTATATTAAACATAAATGTTGGTTTATTTTTAATCGACTTCAAAAAAGGAGGAGGTTCTCAATATTTTATTATTTTTTTATGTACGTTCAGCGATAGTTCTTTAACACGGTGTCCGATTTCAATGATTGGTTTTTTGTTAGAAAGGAAGTACTTGAGGGGTGGTCTCATATAAATTTGGTCCAAATTTAATAATTGGGTCCATGAGAAAATCCTCAAATTCTTAATTTTTTATGTATGTTTAGCGATAATTCTATACCACCTTGTTCGATTTCTATATGATTCTTTTTTTGTTAGTAAGAGGGTACCTCAGGGTTGGTCCCTTTATAAATTTGGTCAAAATCTGAAAATTGGGTCCATGATAAAATCCTCAAACTTTTAATTTTTTATATATTTTTAGCGATAATTCTTTACCAACTTGACAGATTTCTATGATTCTTTTTTTTGTTAGTAGGAAGGGTGCCTCAGGGGTGGTTCCATATAAATTTGGTGAAATTCTAATAATCGGGTGAATGAGAAAATCCCCAAACTCTTCATTTTTTATGTATATTTAGCGATAATTCATTACCACCTTGTCCGATTTCTATGATTCTTTTCTTGTTAGTAAGGGGGTACCTCAGGGGTGGTCCCATATAAATTTGGTTAAGATGTGGTGATGGCATCTGCACGATTTTGAAGTCGGTTTTTTAAAATTACATTTAATACTTATATAGTTATATAAATTCCTTTAATAGTTTAAAAAGAAATCAATATATTTCATTAACATATTACTTCAGATGGAACGTGCGGACATGCGCAAATCCGCGGTGACATAAAGTTTGACATTTACTAAATTTTAAAGTTTTTATTGTGATCTCGGTGTTTTAAACTATAAAGTTGAATAAGTTCTGCTTAATTTAGCTAATTTAGAACTGTTTGGGTATTTCAAAAATAATGTTTAATTGACAACAGCAGAGGTGGCTCGTAACCAAAAATATTGGAGGTTCATAATGACAGAATATAGGTCTACAGTTGCAGGTAAAAAACTTTCAGTGTGTTAGGAAGGTATACGAGTATTATACCTTATAATAAACAACTGAAATTCAGCAGGAAGAAATCACATGTGACCTTGCCAAAAGTGTTTCTTGAGAAGGTATATTAATTCGTTGAGAAGTTCAACATCCGAGTTGTTCTAAAGACCCAGGTTCTCCAGGGGTACAGTGGCCTCAACAGCTGTGGTCTGTGGTATTAGAAGGCTGTTCGTGCTTTCACCTGTCCCATTAGTTACAAAGCGAGCGTCTACAAATTATAACTGTACCTCTGTATGAATCAGACCTTGAATTATCAATTGAGAAAACAAAGAAGGAAACGGAATGAGGCAAGTATTTTCAGTGGAATCAAAAGAAAGTGTAAAGACAAACGTGGAAAAAAGGAAGCTAAAAGTATCTACGATAAAGTTGATGATCTTTACGTAGGCCAGTACACTCCTGAAAGCAATGTCGCCACATGTCTATTTTGTTAACAACAGTTTTCTAAGGATACGAGGATACATATTTGATTATACCATTCAAGTGACATGACCCTGTTAGCTCACAAGTTCATACAGCATTCAACTTTTTCAACCATTATGTCATGACCATGTTGCGACGCGGGTTCAATTCCCGATAGAAGCAATCTTTTTTTATATTTTGGAAAAATATGAAAATCGAAAAATACGACTATTGTTGTTTATTTATTTTAAATACGTTTTATTTATCATAATATAACCCCTACGGTTAATATTTTCGCAATTATCTCACCATAATTCAAATCAATTTTTTTATAAAATTAGAGAATGATACTGACCACAAATTAAATTATCATAATTTAGGTGGGTTTATAATAATTTCAAAATTGTTTAAAATACAGACTCTTGGAATACTAAACTAACGAATAGTGGTGATAAAACTGCAACACCCTGTACTTTATTTAACTAAAAACCTTATAAATTTACCTATCCAACGATACCAACATGTTAGACAATAACACATATACAGGGTTTCCCACCAGTGAGTAATTGATCGAAAGCTGTTTTATTATTGGAAATACACAAAAAAAAATGAATATAAAAGTTGTTTGACCATACTTAACAATTATACTTAAATATACAGGGTGGTCCATAAACGAGGGAGTGACTAAACCAATACATTTTTAAAGCGAAACACTCTGCAGGTGTTTGATTTTTTTCACATCGTCTAACAATTTTAATAGACTTCATTCTTTTGATATGTTGTATGTAGGGTGTGTCAAAAAGCGAAGTTAAGATTTTCTCAATTTTTTTAAATGGAATACCCTGTATGTTATACCACCAATTAATTATCAAATATTTACACCTACTTACCTGCAGGGTGTTTTGCTTTAAAAAAGAGTAGGTTTGGTCAACACCTCGTTTATGGACCACCCCGTGTATAATTAAGAATAATTGTTAAATATGGTCATACAACTTTTAAATTATTTCTTTTTTCGTATTTCCAATAATAAAACGGCTATCGATCAATTACGCACTGAGGGGTTACCCTGTATATATGTTATTGGCTAACATGTTGGTATTATTGGATACGCAAATTTATAAAGAATTTTATGCTAAAATAATCTACAGGGTGTTGCTTTTGAAAACATTGAGTAAATTGAACTTAAAATTAGCCATATTTAAAACATGTTTCAGAACACTCTGTATAAAATAAACCAGTTTTATCGCCACTATTCGTTAGCTTAGTATCTTATAAGTCTGTATATTAAACAAATTTGAAATCAATGTAAATCTACCCAAATTATGATATATCTTTTACTACCGACCTTCGGCGAATTTTTTTGAAGCTATGCTCATTTTAGATACATTTTTATTTTGTTTTTACGTGGGATTAGAGCTAAGTTAAAACACCTAGATAGGTATGCCTAGGTATCTAACTCATTCATCGTACATGAACACAAGCCACAATTTCGAAACAAAATTTTTCGAAAGAAAGCCTCCAGCGAAATCCTTTCCCTAATTCTTGCACCCTTAAAACCTACCACATCACCTCAGCTAATAACCCTCTGACGCCCTATCGATCATCCGTCACATCAATCCCGCCTCGCGACCCCACCATCCCAGTCGCCGTCATCAATTCTCCAGAGGCGGGTCGTCAGCTGACGCCAGACTCCGCCTATCGCTCGTCGGCCAACCGAAACCGCGAACCGAGGTACACGTGACGCGTCGATACGCACGCACAGCATCGATCAAGCGAGATTCGAGATTGTCGACTATTTTTTAACGTGTGACGCATGGTATGATGGTATGGGAATTCGTCTGTTCGGTTCGGTCTGTCAGAGGAGTAGTCGATTTTTCCTGCGGACGGGGGAGGCGTGGGGGAAAAACTGATGGGGGTGGTTTTTGGTTGGATGTGTGTTAGACGAGCGAGATTGATTTTTCTGCATGTAAATTGTGTATTAACAACAAAAGTTTGAAATTCAGTTTTATTTTATTGGAGGGAAATAAGCAGAGGGTAGGACATATGTTTTTGGGTAGAAAGTTTGGTAATTTGGAAGAAAATGTATATATTTATGGAGTTTGATTTATTTCAGAAATAAAAAGTATAAACAAATGTTTTATTTGAATAGGTAAAAGAAAATGGATTGGAAACAAAGTTGGGACAGTTTTTAAATTATTTGCTATCAGTTGTTTACGATTGATGGTGCTTTTTGAAGGTTCTTTATTTATTTTACTAAGCCGAGAATACAATACCTATGACATCATCATTAGCAGAGTTGGATCGGATACACGAAAAAAGTATCCGACTATCGAATACGTATACTGACAATGAAACCAGCAGTGGCGGCTTGTGACCAAAATGTTGGGGGTTCACAGTGACAGAATATAGATATCAGTATGAAAAAAAATTTCGGTGTTTTAGAAAGATTACAATATAACTTTCTAAAACACTGTCAGTTTTTTACCTATATTTGTACCGACATCTATATTCTGCTACTGTGAACCCCCAAAATTTTGGCGACGAGCCGCACCTGGTAACCAGGTACTTTAAAAAAAAGTAAGGATACATATAAAGTATCCGGATACTATCCGATACTCTGGTAGCTACGCAGGTAGGTTGGTACCTAGATATATATTATTATCTTATACCTGAATATCTATACATACCACAAGAGGATAAGGTATTTCAAGGTACCTACCTAAAGTTAGTACTACTAATCTCGTGAATGAGTCTCTTAAAATTGATTATCAGATATCTAGGTATTGAATGAAAATTTGTTGCGTAAAGATAAAAATTGTAGTTTTATAAAAACATTAACTCCTGGCAATGCCAATGAACGTAAATTTTAAAAGATATAGGTACCTACCTAACTTTAAACCCTACAATGTTTTTATAACATAGGTAGGTACCTACCTATACCTACCTACCTACCAGGGCCACCGAGAGCCATGGTGGAGCCCCGGAGCAAAACATTGGCAAGGGCCCTTCCCTATATATTGTAATCTATATTTTTTAAAGATGCCGGCCCACCATGGGGTCCGGGCATTTTTTCATTTTTTAAAATAAAGAAATACAGGTTTTAGGGTAAATGTAGGGAATCCCGGCCATGAAGGTAATAGGTACCTGATTATTATATTTTAAATCAAGTTTTAGCTACATAAGCTGCGCCATCTATTACAGTAGGTATTTCTAAATCTACGATCAAAATGGTGTGGCTCTACACTCGGGACCCAATTTACATGTAGATACCCAAATTAGGAACCTACTTATTTAGGAAAGTCTTAAAAAATAAAGGAATAGTGGATAGTAAATATTGAAAAAGTATAGTCAAATGACAATACAACTAACAAAGCTAAATACAAATCATTGATTTAAAATTTAATAAATGTTCAAACTGTGTACCACCAATCTTCACACAAGCCTCCATACGATACGATGTCTTATTCCTCTGGTTATTGTTTAGCAACCTAGGCTGATTCTATCTTTTAGATTATCCATATTAGCAGGGCGCACTTGACATATCAACAAAGTTTTTTAAATAGTCCCATAATGAGACATAATTTTTGGCATTAATAATCTGATTAGAGCCAGAGAGCTTTAGCTCGAGGGCTTTATTCAGTTGATTATTAATGCCAAAATTATGTAGAATCAATTTGTAAAATGTTTGAGAAATTTAGCAACAACAAAAATAGCAGAATATTAATTAAGGTCGTGTTATATTTGGAACGTCTATTTCACTAAACCAAATATCGTTTATTTCTTTCTTCTTTAAGAAGTAATGAGGTGACATGCGCTGAGCGGTTTATATATTACCCTTAATAAGTAACTAGAATACTCTCGATCGTATGCGAGTGCTTCAAGCGCATCGGACGGCTTCCCGAATGTTTATCTGTTTGTTTATTTTTAACGACTACTACCCAGACAACACACCAAATCCCAGAGATATCCACAGAATATCTTTTGTGGATATCCAATATATCCACAGGATATCAGAAGTATTTCGTGGATCTAATATGGATATCCAAATGTCCGTCTATATCCAGAATATAGAAGATATCCTATGGATTATTCAGCAAAATATCTAATGGGTATCTTCCAGACAATACAAGAAATCCCAGAGATATCCAGAGAATATATTTTGTGGATATCCAATATGGATATCCAACCAAATGTCCGTCTATATCCCAGGATATAGAAGAATTAGGATATTCAGCAAAATATTTTATGGGTATCTTCTTTAGTAGAGGTTCATAAAAGTAACCAATGATTATTGAATAACGTCGAAAGAAAATAGCAGAGATAAAAAATATTTTTAACACTCTGCCTTTGATTTTGCCCACTAAGGAGAAAGTCATCCTTATTAGGACTCTTCAGCAATAAATGGAAATTCTCGACTCCAGTCTCTAATGGAGTCTGATTGGGAAACAAATTTCGATCGAACTCAATTACGGCGGGTTGAGCATGAGTAGATGCGAAAGTGGTATCGCCATCTATACTTAGTAAGCAAAATCAAAAATTACATCTAGTGGATAAAATTAATTTTAAATATCTGAACGGTACTATTAGCCACAATGGCGAGCACAATGGCTTAATTTTTTAATAATTTGCTATATAATTACTATTATTTACATGCATGTCTATAAATTACATCTCATGGATATAAAATAGATATCCACCATGGACTGGACATTCAGTGGATATTGGGATGTTCAGTAGATATCCAAAGGATTTGGTGTGCTGTCTGGGTATCTGTGGCGTTCTACTTCGTACGCCTAATAATATTATTTATCGATTTTAATCATTGTGAGTTGAAGAATACAGTGGCGATCCACTGCGTACGCTTAATACAATTACAAATAAACTATGTGTGCTAACTTTATAATTTTTTTGCGCATTATTTTAATGTTCTGAATGTCTCGCGGTACAGATTGAAGCTGGACGGGGGTGGTCACATATGCTATAAACTAAAAACTCGACAGTTGAGAAATATTTTTTATTTCAATTTGGTGTTCTTTATAGTTTAATGATTTAGGTACAAACGTTCCACCATCACAGTACTATGATTACTTTAACATGGAATCATTAAAAAATACTACGGCACCTTTACCAATTTAAACCAAAATGCAAAATCTTTGCTATTCAAAAAAAATTAATGTATCTCAAACCGATGCAAAATACCAACCTTTTCCTGCTGCATCTGTTGCTTCATCAAAATCGTCTTCTTTTTATCTTTACACCGCTTATTTTGGAACCACACCCTGATTACTCTCGGCGACAGACCCGTCATCTCGACTAGTTGTTCCTTCATCAGAGCATCCGGTCGCGGATTGGCCGCGTAGCACGTGCGCAGGGTATGCAACTGTTTCTCGTTGAGGACGGTACGGACGCGCGTCGGTTTTCCATCGCTGCCGGTTCCTCCAGACGCGCTGTTGCCACCGCCGGATTTTCGATGACCTCCGCCTTTGTGGGACCCGCTTTCTGAACCTGAATCTGTAAACAATGGAAGTTACTCAAACTGGCAACATAGAAGTATCTTTATATAAAAAATGTTGCTCATAAATTTTGTTACGAACCGGCAACAGCGCTTTACGTATATGGAGTTTCCAAACCGATTCACTTTAGTAGGTCTAACCATGGACAACAAACTTCTCTGGAACATGCATAAAAAGGAACTAGTACTATAAAGCCACAAAAGGCATAATGGTATGCAGAAATATTGCGGGTAAAAGATGGGGTTGTAACCCGGATATACTGTGACGGATGTATACAGCAATAGTAAGACCAATCATCACTTACGGGACTATAGCCTGAAGTAACAGAACTAGTTTAGCTTTCTAAGACTAGCCACAATGGAGGTGATCTTAAATCTCACTCCTCTACAATTAATGATAAAGAACGTGGCAAAAAGAACACGATATATAACGATCAGGAACGGAGTAATCAGACGAAAGTCTGTTAGCTTCAAGACCGAAGATACTTGGGATAAAATGAGAAAGATGTACAGTTTTGCGAAAAACTTCAAAACCATAGAAGAATCCATCGTGCTTGCAACCGAAAGACATGATATTCATAAGTATACGGATGGTTCCAAAACCATAGAAGGAACTGGAATAGGAGTATATAGGCCTAGAATTGGACACTCTGAGAGTGGGTCCCCAGGTGCGTAACTGAAGAAGCGGATATATACGGATGGCGGAATATGCTTTGGATTTTACTTGTCTCCAAGAGCGGAATATATAAAAATATAAACTGCGGAACAGCCTCAAAATAGAAGCTAGGCAAGTTCTTGAATACCTTTACTTGTATTTCGAGTAGAATAACTACTTGTAATTTTTACTTATAAGTATTTTTTATTTGAAGTACTTACTACTCGTACTTACAAGTAAATTTAAATCTACTCGTAGAATGTACTTGTAAAATACGAGTATTATTTTACGAGTAGTCGGCATTTTTTGATCGCCGCATGTTAAACCGCCAGTCGCTACTATCGATCGCCAGTATCACGAATCACGACACGAAACGGCCTCGGTTGCGTTCGGGCTGCGGTCTCTAATTTGGGTTGGGAATATTGGGAAAAGCAATTCGTTGGGCGTTTTACGTTTTATTATTTTTGGTGCTTTGGGTGGTGTAAATGTGTTTCCTACGAGAACGGTTAAATATTAAACGTCTATAGTCTCCATACACAATCTTCGTTAATTTGAATAAGGATAATTTCCTGACCGTAGCAGAATTTTATATAAATAAAAATTTCCTTGGTTTATTCGGTCATTAATTTTATTTTCTATCGTATGCACAGCAATACATATGTTTCGGAAAACTTCGTTTCCATCTTCGGGTGCAGTCAAAATTATTTTTTTTTAAAAACACTTGGGGACGATTACAACCAGTTTAAAAATTTTTAAAATAACAGAAACCCCATCTTTCTGTTTCAGCGTGTGAAGGTGTATTCGAAATAATATTGATTTGGTTTCAGTGGCGGTTTGCCCGTAAGGGCACTTGGGCCCGTGCCCTAGTATAATAAACATCTAATATTCAGTGCAAACCGCGTTGGCATGACACTGGACGACCGGGCGTTGGGCGACGTTCCGAAGATGGGCATAGGGCACAGTAAATGTGTGCCTCTGTTGTTTTCTCTCTCATTATGATGCGAAAAACAAGAACAACGACAATATCGCTTAGCAAGAGATGAACACATGCGATGGATTATACGTCACAAACAGGGCGCTGTCCCAGATTAACCTACACCAGATAAGAATGTACGCGGCGGCAATAGCTTAGAGCTCCCACCACTTTCTTCCTAGATCCAGCGGAAGAAATAGTACGGACGATTGCATTGGATCCAGTTTCAGCAGAGCTTGCGACCGTTGAACGTTTAGTTTGAGCGCCTAGGTTACAAAACATCGCCGAACTTGTGAAATTTATTGTGATATTAATTTGTAGATGTTGTACATCTGAAAATAGAGATGGGACAAAATTTTAATTTTTCTTTTGGTTTTGTTTGATTTTTTCGAGGATTTCAAATCTCTGTTTGCATATTTAAGAGTATAAAAAATCATCTCAAAAAGGTATGCTTTGGAAATTCCAGGCTTAGTTGACAAACTATCAAATAGAGATATAAATATTTTTTCTAATTTGAAAATAAAAAAGAAATTTTTCGCTGGGAGATTTTAAATTGCCAAACACCTTTTCTTCAGAGTCGTATGCTTTAAAATGCGTTGACAAGTTAAAATTGAGAAATTTACAAATTTCGCAAGAGTTGATATGTAATGATTTTTTGATTAAATAGCAGCCACATACATACATAAATGCATTTTGAGTGGTTACATTTAGCTCCCTGTAGTCACATTTAGAAATCGTTATTGCCCCCAACTGATTGTTTTGAAATATATTTAATTTTCATTAAGCGGAGAACTTGTTTACCTAAGGGAAAAACGAATCCCGGGATCCTTTCCAGTGTGTGCCCCACTGCCGCTAGTGCCCACGAGCCGCCACTGTTTGCGCTTTAACACGATAACGATAAAGTAGGGAAACAAAAAGATGAGTTTTTACAAAGTTAAAAATTACCAGTTTTAAAAACTGTATTTAATTGTTTACTGTCAAGTTGGTCATATTTGTTTTATTTATATTCTAAACAAAGTTTTTGTATTTTATTTGTTTTAGAATAGTATTTTGTTTTTGTTTAGGTAAATAAAGACTATTTTTATTTAAAAATTATATTGGTTTTCCTTTGTTTTTTTTTTTATAGTTTATTTAATTATTAGGTTAATTTTGTGAAACTACTCGTACTCTTTACTCGTATTTTCATGATTACTACTCGTATCCGTAAACTATCTCTATAAAAGTACTATAAAATTTTCGAGTACTCTCGTACTCGTACAATTTACGAGTATTTTATTCAGCTCTGCTGCGTTTGCATATTTTATTAAAAAATTATGAAAAAAGAATATATTGGGTCAGACCTATTTCCTCTGTTGAAAAAAGGTTTGAACATGGACATAGTGACACTTTGTTATTAGAAATGCGACTCAATGATCCCGAAAAATATTTAATTTTTTTACGCATGATTTTAGTTATTTTTGATAGACTGTTGGCACTTGGTAAACGGAAATTAACTAAATCTAATATGGTTCGAGATTCTATACCACCGAAAACAAGATTAGAAGTAACTATAAGATATTTGGCTGATGGTCTAAGCATGACTTCTTGCTCTTACGATTTTCGAATTGGAAAAAATACTGTGTCTGTCATAATAGCTAAAACATGCCAGGCATTATGGGATTTCTTAAGGGAACAAGGTTTTTCATGCTTTTCTGAAGAAAATTGGAAAAATACCTCAGAATTTCATAACATATCTAATTTTAAAAACTGTATAGGGACAATTGATGGTAAACATGTTACTGTTCAGGTTGTTATACCTTGTTTCAGAGTAAATTAACAGGTTCATTTTAGGCAACTCCACATTCAGGCTAAGAGTACCTACTACAATTATATAAACTCCCATAGTATTAACTTATTAGCTGTGGTAAGTGCAACATCACAATTTATTATGGTCGACATCGGTGCCCAAGGACGTATAAGTGATAGTGGCATATTTCGGGATAGCATAGGTAGTAGGAAAAGGTTTGGAGGAAGGAAAATTTCATATACCAACTTCTGAATATGTCTCTGAACTCAATAAACAATTACCCTATGTAATCATAGGTGACGAATCATTTGCATTAAGTGCATACTTAATGACCATATCCTCGAAGAATTAGATTAAATAGACGCCAAAAAATTTTCAACTATCGCCCGAGTCGTGCATGAAGGACATTTGAATATGCTTTTGGCATTCTTGCAGCTTGCAGCACGTTGGCGGATATACCGAAAGCCTATTATTATTAGTGTTGCAACCACTATAAAAATTATTCAAGCAACGGTATGTCTGCACAACTAAATAATGCAGCAAGAAGCAGCAAGGCCCAGTAATCGCAAGAAGTATGAGGTTCTCACTAAAGAAGATATGGAGGTGCCAACATCGGCACTCCAAGATATAAAGCAGACAGGAAGTAATGCACAATACTGCTCAACTTAGAGATAGTTTTGCAGAATTTTTGAAACCATTGATATAATGCCTATATAGTCAATGGGACCAAATATTACAAAATGATTTTTAATGTTTAAAATATGAAACGCAATGATTTAATATAATTTTTTACTGTGTAAATTAAATGTATTAAATAAATTGTCTAAATCTTTTTAATGTGGACTATAATAACAATTAAACAACTTTGCATAGACAAATATTTAACTTTGTTTAATCTTAGTTCCTTAATGACGATCCTATGTAGAAGGTATACCTGCTAATTTTTTGTTTTGTCAGTAATAGTTTTAAATATTTTAAAAAGTAAATTGCTTAAATGTATAATAAAAAAGAGAAAACCAATTCAATATTATTACTAAGTTTTTTTTTATGTATTGTCTTACACTTCCTGTACCATTTGCAAGATGTTAATCTCCAATTGAGACCGTACCCGATAGGGAAAGCATCTCAGTGCCTCACCAACCCGAAGCAAAAAACCATCTAATCCTTTCAACGGAGCCCTGTATTCAGTAAGAACTTGGGTAATTGCTTTATGCAATTCCTTTGTTTCGTCCATTCTTCTTTCTGCAACATTTTATTTTATTTTCACTGTAGAAAATAGGAAATTTTACTAACTTTCAATAAAGCTGGTACTGCCTGCATTTGGGGCCTGATTCGGGTTTTCTGCAACAGTGGACGTACTTGGGGTTTGGTTCATATCTTGCTTCATATGGCCTCCTAAATTATTCTCCACCTTTTTACATTTTCTTTTTTTTTTTAATTTGTCCTTTCAACTAGTGGCAACGAAGCATCAAATAAAGCTTTTCTTGAAGTCACTAATGATACGATTTGTTCTTTTAAATCCCCCGAAGCATCTACTGGGTTTGGAGATAATATAACCCCTTCTTTCTCAATGGCGTGAATTTCT